AAATATCGTGCAGAGAATTTTATTAAATATAGGCATATAAATAATACAAATTTATTTGACTGAAATGAATATATTTAGTAACGGATCTAAACAATAAAAGGAATAAATTCCAATAACCTTTACAAATAATCATATATGTAGATATTTATATGCATATTTCTATGCACACTATATACACTCATTAACTCATAGGTCAAGGCTCTTAGCGAAGCCTAAAGCAATTGTAATTCCCTTATCCATACATAAGGTTGAAAACTTGCTAGACGCACTGATTAAACGGAGTTTAAGTAGAACACAATGAAAACTAATTTGCACGCAAATGCACTTTAGCACACACACACACACAAGTACTGCCCTTTGTGTGGGTGTGGCCTGTGCGTGTGAGTGCTTGTAGGCGTATGCGTATTTGTCAAGAGCCTGTGTAGGATACAAATATTGCGCATACGCCGCGTGGCTGCACTCAATACCATTCGGTTGTCAATATAATGTATTTAAAATGCCATTTGTGTAAATGGATTATGTAATCGATGCATTTGCCATTCGATGTGCTCTTATGTGCGTGTGTGACCCCATATGTACACGCAAACATATAGATGTATGTACACACACACACTCATATAAACTAAATGCATATTTGTATTATTGCTGGCAAGCATGGTTGGCTGATAACGATACGCAGTTGTTGCTGCTGCTTCAACATTGGCATTCAGCTCGGCGCTGGTAGTCGTCGCGCTCGATATGTATATAAGTAAAAGCAAATTGATGCCTTAAGCCAAATATAAACACAATAAAACCAAACAAGCCGCAACAACAATGAGCAACAGCAGCCAGCGAGCACACAGTGAGAGGGCGCCAAGTTACAAGTTGCTAGCAGAAAGGCGAGAGGCGTGGAGCGTGTGGCGGGGATAGGGGGCAGTTGAAGAATCCTAGGCCAGGCCACTGACGCAGAGGCAGTCAAGTCAGGCAGTTAGTCAAGCGTAAGGCAGCAGGCGGCTAACTGCAAATTGTATAAGCTCAAATTTGCCTGTAAGCCAGCCCAGCCCAGCCCAGTCAACCCAGCGAGACGTAAGAAGCGATGTCGAGCCAAAGCCTTCAGCAGGCAGCTGGCAGCAGGCGCCTCAACAGAGCGCTGCAAATTGTATCTAAAATGTTGATAACATCGCATTTGTGGCACAGATTTCGCCTCACTTACCCCGGCTGCCTATCGCAGCGCACACAAAGGCTGAGCATTAGCTACAATAACATTGACAACATCGGCAGCCAGGCAACGTGCAGCCAACAGGCCAACAGGCCAACCAGGCAGCCTGACAATGCGGATCGATGCGCTCTGGGCTGGCACTGGGGCATATGATATTTGAGTTATGCGAACTGCAGCCTCTGTTGACTGTTGACCATTTGAATGTCGCAACAACGATGAGATTTGCATTTCAGGTTTTTGAATTTGCTGTGACAGCCATCGCTTAATAAACATGTGCAGCGAGGGCTGCGCGAATAGTTTAGTGTGCCAATAGAGTTGCTTGAAGTGTGCAAAATTTTACCTTGATTGACAAATATAATTTTACTAATTAAATAAATTGATAAAATGATATGCTTGTGTTGTTATTCTGATTAAAAAAAATAGTCAAAATAAATAAAAAATTCAATGATTTATTATTTGTAAGTTTATAAATATTTTCCTTTTAATTTTGTATTTTCTGTTATTATTTTTGGTGTTATTTTATGTTTATTATTTTATTTTTATTATTTTATATATTTTTCTTTTATTGTTTTTTTGTGTTATTTTAATTAGTTATTACTTTATTATAATTTTATAGTTATTAATTCATTGTTATAATTTTCTTATAATTTATTTATTTTTTATTATTATTTATTTTTTGTTTTATTTTAATTTTATAATATTAATTCATTTTTAATATTTCCTTATTGTTTTCTTTATTGTTTATTATTATTTTTAAATTTTATTTAATTAAAAAGATATTTAATTCTATTTACAATATATATATACTATATTTATTTTATATTTTTTTGTACGCCCATTTTTCAATTCTTTTTCTTTACTTATCCTTTTGTTGCAATAAGCATTTAGCTTGGGCAACTTGCATTAAGTCTTTTATATATATATTTTCTAATTGAATTCCCTTTGAATTGAAATCTTAATAAAGAAATGCCACAATAGACATTTAAGCTATTGTTTGTTCTAAATTGATGTGTGGCTGTGGAATAGATGATAAAATTTCTTTTGAACTGCATATTTTCAAGGATATTTAATTATTGGCAAACCATAAATGCCAACCAGCCATTGTTTACTTTGAAAACATGTTTGTATACCCTGCAAAGAGTACGAAATGTGCAAAGGGTATATATGTGTGTGTGTGTCTTGTCGTCTCTGACTGTAGCTGCATATTTCAGTAAATACTTTCACAGCATTGCCCGTTAAACAACAGCAAGTACTTTACCAACTCAGCCCTGGGTCAACATCGTATAGGATATCTTTCTATCGGCCAACAGATCCATAACTGTTTATTGCTTTTGTTTTTCTTTTGCACACATTTCACAGACCATTTTGTTGCTGTTTTGCTTATACGCCAGCTATTGTTGTGCTGCTCTTAAAGTATATATTTACTTATGTATATTTTGTAAAGCAGAAGTACTACTACCTGTTTTATAGCGCAGCTGGTGTTGTTCTTGTTGTCCTTAGTGATTTAATGCCTGGGGCGCAGTGGCTGTTGCATTGTGCAACTGTTGACGACACAATTTTTGCTTTATACTCGCTCTTTATACAAACACTCACACACACACACACAGTTAGTGACGATATAAAGGCAAAGATATTGCGCATACGCCACGTTGCAGCTTTATGTCCAATGTCTGTCGGTCTGTCATGTTGGCGCCGTCACAAAAGCTTTGAAGTTCCATAGATAAGCCGGGCAGAGTTTTGCCGTCTCGTTGTTGCCACGTTGTTGCTCCTCCTCCTGCTGCTCCTCCTCTTGCTCTTCCTGCTGCTGCTGCAGTTGTGCTGCATAACTTGAAGCTAATGGCCGCCTACTGGACAATGCGCGCCGCTAAAAGGCATTGCAAGAAACGGTCCATAAACTTATGTCATAAGATGCCCCAGTGACTGTGGCAAGATGCTGTAAGCCAGCAGCGCAATCCATGGGATATTCGCGTCCAACTCCAGGGTTGCGCCACACATGGCTGTAATAATAAAATCTATGTTTTTATATAATGCTCCAGAGTTTTTATGAATTATCCTTTAATACTATTATTTCAAGGACTCTTTTTGCTTTCTTTAATATTAAACAAAGAGTTTCGCATTTTAATGTTTCCTGTTTGAGCTGACAGAATTAGATTTTATATCCGGCAGCCCTGGTCCATGGGATGTCCTCAAACTATATTTCACTATCCCACACACACACACACACACACATACAGAAATGGGCACACACACACACATACACACTTACATTTTAAGCGCATTTAATGCGCGCATAAATTATTCAGAGTGCCGCTGAAAAAGCCAGGACTCCACGCTGTGCAATACTCAATTATTTTAGATTAGGTTTGGATTAGTGGTCAGTGTATGTTAGCCAAGTGTAGCCGAGCTTTTGGCCATACGACTCGCCGCTTGGTTCAATGTACGCCTGGTTATTGCACTTTATACGCCCGCTGAAACAATACCGCGAACCGAGTTCTGGCTTTTAGTTTTTATACAACGTTACGTTTATGGTAAATGGGATAAATGTGGGTATATGGGTTTGTGGGTTGAGCGTGTGA